AATTTTAGTACGTGACATCAAGGAGACGACTAGATGGCCGAAGTTTATATACTACCTCCTGTAATACCTACAGAAGAATAGGGCTTGGGCCTCCTGAAGGGATGAGGTAGCCTCACAAGCCACGGGAGGTTCAGGAGGGAAATTCTGGATCAAAACCTTCCTGATTATGCACACAGCCAGCTGTGGCCTCTCTGCCTGAGAGGTGAAGAGTCTTTCCTAGGCAGATGGAGATCTCAGAGAAAAGCTGCTATCTATACGTTTTATATTATCTCGTGTAGCTATGTATGTAAATTTCTGTTTTGTAAGAGGACAGCTTTTCAGAGCACTTATTTGTCTGCAGGTCCTCTGAATCACCAAGTCAAAATATGGCAAAGAAGTGTGTTTGGGGTGAGGTATTTTACTCTCCCACACCTCCATAGAGATCGTCACTGTGACTGTACCAGTGGCCAGTGTGAGGAAGTTCAGGTGCCCTTTCCATCAGGATTCACTAGTGACTTGGGCCGGGGAACTAGCATTTCAGTCTCCGGGGTTATAATTTGAGGTAATAAGGTGCACTCTCATCATCTCCATGAGCTTCTGTTTAATTAAAGTACTTTTCTTGTTTGTATACAGAAGCACTTTATTAATGAAATGCACCGGAAGATGGAGATTTTTACTGGACTGTCTTCCAGAGGACAGGGATATCCTTGCTCAGGGGCCATGCTAATCTTCTCTGTATCGTTCCAATTTTAGTATATGTGCTGCCGAAGGGAGCACTAGGACAGAGATATACTTGGAGTCAGTGATATGACTTGAGAAGCAAGAGATAGGAGAAAATTAGGTGTGGTGGCACAAGTGAGGAAAATTATTCTATGGAAATGGAATGGAATTAATGAGTTAATGTAAGGGCCTTAAGAAAAGAGTTTTCCTAATTCGTGCTTTAGTACTTTAATCTATAGTGTAAGCCTTTAAATGACTTTAGGCAAATTATATGTGTTGCAGAAATACCTTTTGTTTTCTTTGATTTTATATTTCCCCCATGAGCTGATTAATTTTCTTCAGGTGTTTTACTATAATAGATTAATGTAAAAAATAGATTGATATCATGGAATATAGAAAAAAAGTGTCACACATTACCTTAGATATTTTCAGATCTGTTGCCTCTTTGAATTCTCAAAACTACTTTCTAATGTGAACATTGTGAATCCTGCTTAGTTAATGAGAATGCCAAGACTGAAAGTATTGTTATATATATAAAACCATCTTTCTAGCAAGTAGGTAAATTTCACTTGAACTCAGATTTGTCTTTAATTCCAAAGCCCACACTTTGTTTGTATTATATTAGGTTAGAGAAAAGAAATAGGGGTAGGCTCAAACAATGAAACTTAAATTTAAAAATTCTCTGTAAGTAGTAAGATTTATATAATTTATAAAGATAGCGTATCTAGGATTTTCTATTGTGTTAAGCAGGAATGGACCTTAATGAAATTTTGGCATTATTTTTTCATTGAACATAATTAAAGATACAAGTTGAAAGCAGCACATCTTTTGTGTTCTATACATATACAGTTAGTATTAGAGCTGTCACAGTCTCTGCTTTATGCCTTAGATGAGTCTCTGAAGTTCTGTGTAAATGAAATTGGGTCATATCTAGTGTAGGTGTCCCAAAGGACTGGCTGCTTAAACAAACCTTTTGTTTATTGTTTTTGAAGGAAAGGGAAAAAGAGTACCAGTTCCTGTCATCAATTTGAAGGATTTTGTGATTTGAAGTATAAGTAGGGTGTGACTCTTGATGTATCTGAAGTGTAAACACCTTTGGTAATTGTTATAGAAATGCTCTGATTTTTACTAGGTGTTAGATAAACCCGGCAGGCTAACTGAAAAGGAACTTGCTGAGGCTGCCAGCAAGTGGGCTGCTGAAAAGCTGGAGAAGTCAGATGACAGCAACTTGCCTGTGATTTCTGAGTTCCAGGTATGGTATCACTTCTCCATTATGTTTGACACCTCCAGGTTTTGTGTGGCTACCTTACAGGTGGAACACATTTGCTTTGTTGTAGTACCTCAAAATACATTTAGAGGAAAATGTGCTCCTGAATTATTAAAATTTGCCATACAGAGTAATAATCCTTTTTTTTTTTAAATATACTGGGGATCAAACTCAGGACCTTGCAACTGCCACTGAGCTAAATCCCTGGCCCCCAGAGTAATAATCTTGATTTGGGGGTTATGGAAAATTGTTTATGACATGTTTGTATTAAAATATTTGAAAATAATTTGAAAAACTTCTGTATAATGTATAACATCTCTAGTCAAAGGAATTTCAGGAACTAAATTTTTAAATGCAGGATTTGATCCTAAAAGAATTAATGTGGACATGGTAGGCAGAGATAATAAATTTCCTTATCTTGATAAATAACTATATTTGAAGGAAAAATTTGGCTTTTTGATGTATTCTGGGATAACTTCTATGGAAAGTTTTTTCATAAAAGGGATTATTAGAATTCTTTATAACAATGATAGGGTTACAACTGGGTGTTGTGGTGCACACCTGTAATCCCAGCACTTGGGTGGCTGAGACAGGAGGATCACCACAAATTCAAGGCCAACTTGACCTACATAGTGAAACCCTCTCTCAAAAAAAAAAAAATCATCCTCATCTTTGTATTAAAAGATCCTTTCCAAAACAACTGATTACACTGCTCATAAGAAGCATAAACCCTGTCAAAACTTACCCAAATAGAGCCTTTCTTCTGAATACAAATGCTGATCTGTCATTTAGATAGCAATTGTTCTTAAATAGTTCAAGGTTTCCTTGTTATTGTAACCCTAAAATAGGTTTGTTGCATATTCTTGAGTAAATGTATCAAAAGCATCAGAAATTTTCTTTTTAGCCCTTTCCTAGCACTGTTTAAAAGCATGAACAATTGAATAGTAATACAATTAATAGGGTAACTTTATTTATTTATTTTTGGTACCGGGTATCGAACTCAGGACCTTGCGCTTGGCTTGGGAGGCAGGCAGCAGAACCTGTGAGCTAAATCCCTGGCAGGGGTAACCTTAAATAAAAGAGTTTTGCCCTTTTAATTTAGAATAAAAAAACAACAGTTTAGTGCTTTTTGTTTTTTGTTTTTTTATGGTAGTACTGGGGATTGAACCCAGGGTTTTGAATGTGCTGGGCGAGTGCTGTACCTCTGAGCTATACTCCCAGTCCTAGAGTAGTGTTTTTAAAAATATATGTAGATATTTGTACTTCAGCATTGCTGTTTTGGACTAAAACTCATTTCTTATTTGTGTAATGACTTATTAATAAAATGAGACTTTAAAAATATATATTTAGGTCTTATTTTTATACAGAAGGAAGGTTGTACTTGTGAATATTAATATATACATTCATCTTCCCCATCTTCACATCAATTTTTTTTTTTTTGGTATCGGGTATTGGGACTTGGGAGGTGGGGAAACCACTGAGCTAAATCCCCGGCCCTTCACATCAATTTTTTATAATAATTTCTGACAGAATTTTACTATGTACCTTTTTCAGATTTTAAATATTCATGTTTTCTCATTTCTTGGGTAGATTTTGACACTGAATAGTCAGGCACATTGGGTTCTAGAAAGACTTCTTAAACTTCTTTGTTTTTTCTCTAATAAAATTTGACCAGAATTTGTTAGATTTGGGATTAATGTAAACTAGATAACCCTGAAAATCTGGAAGTAGTGTCATAGGTCAGGTATGGTCTTTTGTTGGCTGAAAGGGGAGAGGTACGTGTGAGCATAGGACCTGGATTACTGATGTGTGCTTGTCAGTGTATATCATTAATGGTGGACGGCAGCATTAGTTTCATACCCTACCCTTGTCTACAGTGTTTTCCTAGTCAGGTTGAAACTTTTTTCATACGGGAAATAAAGAAGTAGAGAAGTTTTTTTTAGGCTTTGTAAACTGAGTCCAAACATCTTATTAATATTTTCCTCAGATAATAGTAATATAAGTTCACAGGCTGTTAAATAGTTTTCTCAAGGATCCGTACTTGTGGCGAGACAGAATTTTGACCCTTCTCCTGTAAATTCATACCTAATTTTATAGAATAACTTAGAATGAAGAAAGACCTTTGCTTGATGTTAAGAATTTGGCATAGTTTTGTTTCATTTATGTATCTGTTTAAATCTAATTGTGGTGGTCTGGTACTCCTTTAGCTCTTTAAATAATATTAAAGAGGATAATATTAAATAAGATAATATTAAAGATTACTTTGGAAATATTGTGTAAACTCACTTTTATGAGTTGAAAGAAACTGAGTTTCTTGCTTATCTTCTGTTGCTGCCATCGTATAATTTTTAGCAGTTTCTATGGGAGACCCTGGAATTTTTTTTTTTTTTTGGTACCAGGGATTGAACTCAGGTCCTTGCGCTTGCACAAAACTGAGTTTCTTGGATTTCTTGCTTATCTTCTGTTGCTGCCATTGTATAATTTTTAGTTTCTATGGGAGACCCTGGAAGTTTTTTTTGTTTTTTTTTTTTGGTACCAGGGATTGAACTCGGATCCTTGCTCTTGCGCAGCAGGTGGGGAAACCACTGAGCTAAATCCCCAGCCCAGACCCTGGAATTTTTAAAGTCCAGGGAAAGTGAATATAAATTCAATAATATACTTAAATATTCAGGCTTATTGCAGTTCATTCCTCTGTTCAGTTTTATACTTTGATCTTTTGGACTGTAATAGAACATTTCTGAAAGGTTTTGACAAACTGGTAATTCTGTAGGGTCTTAGTCTGAGGGAGAAAAAAAGATTCTCTTAGCCAGTATGTTTGGGAAATGCTGTATTTAAAAGAGGTAGATTGATATATTTAATAGAGGTAGATTGGTTTTGCTATGTCAGTACTATATAGCAATTTTAATATATTAATATGCTCATCTGTGTCTGTGAAAGAATTAATAATGGAGTTTGATTTACCAAACTTTTAATTATAGATTGTTTTTAAACAGCGTATGTGTTTCAAGGCACACATTTTCAGAGAAAAATACTGTACTGGCTTTAAATTCACTATATATTCTCCATCTGCTTGGGTCAGGCACTGCATTAGAGGTTACTGTTGAGGAGAGTTCAGTCATGTTTTGTGGAAATATAATTTACCATCCATAAATAGCTGTTAGAGATTGGCTTTACACTCTAAATGAAAGCCAGATTATTTGAAGGTTATTAGAACATTCCAATAGAACAGGTCTGTTGTGCTTTTTGTCAGTTACTTTTTCTTCTTGCTTTGTTTTTTGTTAAGTTTATTGGTACATTTTAGGTATACAATACAGTTGCATTCATCATTGGGATTGTACCTTTACATGATGTATCTTGGGTCCTTGCTTTTTGATTTACCAAAACTTGTTGCCTCTGATGTGCTCCCCAATTTACATCTTTTGTTTGTAGGACTGTTTTTGTCACTTTCGTGCTGCTTTACTATAGTACTGGAAACTAAACAGTTTACAAAGACTGTAAACTTATTTCTTATGGTTCTGGTTACTAGGATATATTGATGTTAGAATTTATTTCTTAAATGATGCTCATGATTTTGATTTAAATCCCTTAAATTTTGCACCTCAGACTTGTTAAGAGTAGTTTTTTAGTAGCTAATATATGTATGTATCAGAAATGCAAATGGTGTTTGTGGGGAACCTGTCCAGAAGAGTGAATGATTAAAGTCATGAAGGGGCCTGCGGGGCAAAAGCACGCCTGCTCTGGAATGTATGGTTAAAATTAAGAAAGGACCTGCAGGGCAAAAAGCCTGCAGGCACTGGAATGTATGGTTAAAGATTAGGGAAGCATAGCATAATAGGTTTGGCCTGTGTCCTTCTACCTGCCTGATAAATTGCTTAGATTACCCTAAAAAGTGTCATACAGCAGACCTCCTTGTTCTTTGACACCCAAGCTACTTTTCTTCCTGTATTTCCTTGCAATAAAAGCCAGAGTGTTCTTGATTCAGCACTTCTCCTTTGAGACTTCCTCACACTGGTTGCTCTTGGGACAGTCCCTGTGGGCCTCTCGGTGTTCAGACCAAGTATCAGACCAAGTATCATCTCCAAGTAATGTTTTCATCCTCCGAGCTACCACAGTTGCATACTGTGAGAAGTGACGCTCTGTGTGAGGTGGGAAACTCCGAAGCAACTGGCTGCTGCAGATCATCTTGGAGGACCAGTCAATCTTCCAAAGCCTGCAAAAAGAACAAGGTCCAACTTCTCATTCCATAAGGGGAAATAGGCAGCCACGGAGTAGCCTGCACTTCTACGGCAGGGTTAAAGTTTAGGGTTATCAGCCCAGAGGCCTTCTCACTGTCCAGTTGTTAAGTGAGCTAGGTCAGTGTGCTTGTTTTTCCATTTTGGGTGGAAGAATGATCTCTGAAGAGGAGAAACCGAAACAGGCCCACCTGTTGGTGGAAGGGCAACTGCATGCGGGCCATACTGATCCTGCTTGTAGCTTGTGGAACAGTCCAGTTTTCTGAATACCAAAATATCAGGAAAATGGAGGCTATTACATGACCTCTATCAGGTGAACAGCCACATAGTCCCTAACCCTCCTTTTATCCCTGAAACCTATTGTCTTATAGTTGTGGATCTTAATGATTGCCTTTTCATTATCCCACTCCATGAAGAAGATAGAGGAAAATCTGCCCTGCCCATGCATCCAATTCTTTTGAGGTATTCTTCCCAACTCTGGCATGTTAAACATGTCACTGATATACCTCATAATCCTACCAGACAAGCTATAGTGGCCCATTTGAGGGCTGATTGGGCTCCTCAAAATTCAGGTATTTAAAAGGGGGACTATGAAAAAAAATGGGGGGGCAGGATATGGTAGAGTTCTTCCACAGGAACAGTTATATAAAGCACTCTTTAAAGTTTTAAAATTTTGACTCAGATGGCTTCAGAGCAGAAGAAAACATTTTATTCCCATAAAGGAAGGACCGAGATCATTGGTTCTTTATCAACAGCTTTTATTGGGTCCACAGTGGCTGGGGCCCATGGAATTGCTTACCTGGGGGAGGGGGAGAGGGAATGCATCCGTTTTGTCACCCACAGGCGCAGTTTGGGTTCCTGCAAAGGCTGTGCGTCCCTACCATGTGTAATGAGTTGGGAAGCAATCCTCTCCTGGAGCTCCAGAAGCTGGCAATACAACTTCCCCCAGGAATGAACAAAAAGAAGAAAAGGATGGGTCCCCTGCCCTCTACAACACATGCTTCAGGACCCACCTGGGGAGGCATTAAGAAGCTTACTAATCAAGCCGAACAAACTCTCCAAATCACAGGAACCCCCTCCTCTCCTGAAAACTTGTTTCTTTCAATGATAGAGCAGATCACATCCAACTCCAAGGCTACACAGGTAAAAAGGTCCCTTATTCTTTTGAGCTTGCTGGTACATTTACCTCAAGTAAGTAAGTAAGTGGCGTGGTCTTCTGGGCCCATGTTCTTACCCCACCTGTTTTTGACATAGTCACATGGAGAGATCTGGTACAACCCCACCCCCTTCTTCTAAAGATACCTCTTATACAGGCGGAACTTGGCTGCCACCTCCTGGCCCCTTGTGGGACTGTGAGAGGGACTGCAGCCACTCTGGTTATTCTAATGGGTGGCACCCGTTAACCCCAGGAGAGGTCCTTTTTGGCAGAAGAATTTCCCTTGCCTGTGGTCACCAACATCACTGATAGTAGCTATCACGTTCCCTTCTGGCCCCAGTAGTATGTGAACTATATTTTCATAGGAGGTATTCAAATGGAGGGAGCCTGTCATCAGGCTTTTTTTTTAACAGTGCCAGAGTAGGAGGAGCCCCCTGGTCCAGAAGACACTTTCCCAAGCCCCGTATTCCCTCCTGCTCTCACCCCTGGGTGCCCATCTGAGATGGCCCAGATTTGGGATGGGCCTCATGTAGGTCACCAACCTACCGTTATCCCCTCTCTTACAGTTTGACTCTAGAAAATCGGGGACCTCACAATTTAGTAGTGCTAAAGTCTAGCTCTCCCTGGAATTATGCTTACCCTTTATTCATAGCAGCAGCTCAGCATTATGGAACCATGGGCTCAGTGGGCCTTTACTGTGCCTCTCCTCAGGCACTTATATTTCTCCTCTTAAAAAATCTCTGTGGCATTTAGCTATCCCCCTTTTCCCTTATATTCTCAGAATTAGCAACTATTGGCCCGTAAGTAAACTCATCACATGGGTTTCCATGATACCTCTGACCATGTGATGATTCGAGCTCCCGCCCATACATTTTAGTCTAACAACTGACATGTGCAGAGTACAGTTCTTCTAGCCACCCGAAAGCACTTAGTGTTACCCACCAGCTAATGCTACATGGCTCACTCCGTGTGTCACCAACCTTGATATTTCCCTATTAAATATTACTCATATTGTGGTACCCAGACAACCCGCCAAAGCGTGGCTCCCCACTGTCCTCATGAGAGAATGGACAGGAAATTCCGTCCTTGAACAGGTTACCTCAGCACTTGAACATAGCAGAGAAAAACGTTTTCTTGGTATTCTGATTGCAGCTGCTATTGCAGCCACAGCACTGGCAGCCACAGTGGTGACCGCAGCAGTTGCTTTGACCCATTTCTTACAAAGTACTCAAACCATGGACAGCTACTTTCAAAAAAACGTTACCTCTGCATTGCTAAGATAGACTAGCATTGACAGAGAGATCATAACAATGCCCTGACGCTCTTGAGCCTGCTGTCAGTTGGCTCCACTTAGTGTGATGCAGGATGTCATTCTGTGTGTATCATACCCATCCTGTTTAATAGCTCTGGTTCCTGGGATGCGGTGCTCCGTGGTGCTTTTCATATGGATCTTACTGGGGAGATTTCTTATGTCCAGGGCCGACTGAAGGCCCAGCTTCACAAACTTTAAATGGAAGCTTGCAGTGTCACTCTAGATCATCGTAATACTGTTGCCTGCTGGCTCAACCCCAAAAACTGGCTCTCTGGCCTCAACCTCCGGTTCATGAACTTAATTCTTTCCATGATTCTGGTCTCAGAATTTGGTTACAGTCAGAGTCATGGAACAAATTCTGTGACCAGAGTTGTGGTAAGAATTAGGTTCATGAACTGAGGTACCACTATATATGGATACTTACTGCTATAGGAATAATATTTTTGTTGTGTCTTCTTGCAGTCCTAAAAGCTCTCTGTGTGCTGTTCCAACGAACACACTGTGTTGAGGCCATGATGACTTCCTGCAGCAAGCCCAATACCTATTTATACCACATTCCTCTTCTCCTCAATCCCTAATGCTTAAAACAAAAAATGGGGAGGGGTTACTTGGGGGCCTTGGTCAGAGGAGTGAATGATTGTAGTCATAAAGGGGCCTGCGAGGCAAAAGCACGCATGCTCTGGAATGTATGGTTAAAGATCTGGGAAGCATAATAGGTTCAACCTTTGTCCTTCCACCTGCCCAATAAGTTGCTCCGATTACCCTAAGAAATGGCAGGTAGCAGACCTTCTTGTTCCTTGACACTCAGACTGCTTTTCTTCCTGTATTTCGCTGCAACAAAATCAAGAGAGTTCTGGGTTCAGCACTGGTCTCTTGAGACTCCCTCACACTAGAACCTCTCGGGACAGTCCCTGTGGACCTCTGAGTGTTCGGACCAAATGTTGTCTCCAAGTAATCTTTTCATTCTCCAGACTGCCACCTTTGCACACTACAACAGGTATTGAAGCATTCACAGTGTGTCCCTTGCATCCTCTTCACTTCCGTGTTGTTCTTGTCGGAAACCTGCTTTAATCCCTTTCCCACGGAGAGTGTTACTCCAGAGATACCTATGGATATGCATATGTGTAGATGTATGTGTTTCTGTCTGTAACCACCTTTGTGACACAGTGGGCATATATTAATAGGGAATAGCCTCTTGGCTATGAGATTATTCACTTATTTTTGGTACTGGGGATCAAACTCAGGATCTTGTGCTTGCAAGGCAGGTGGCAGCACCACTGAGCTAAATCCCCGGCTCAGTTATTCACTATTGATTTGTTACTTGAGACTTGGTGTTTTTATGTGTTCATGTTTGAGATAAGCTCTTGTTGTGTTGTCTAGATTGGCCTGGAATTTGCTGTGTAGCCCAGGCTGACCTAGAGTGCACAGTCCTACTGCTTCAGCCTCCTGATTATAGGCCTATACCACCAAGCCCAGGAAAAATATTAGTGGTTATTATGTTTTGTTGGATTGTTTTCTCTTTAATGATTTCAGTAAGTGCTTAAGTTACAGTAGCAAGGTGTTTTAACTTTAGAAAGTGGAACCCTTTCCTATGTTCCTTTTATTCTTTTATGTGTGCACACTTTCACTTGTAGTTGGACTTTTTCTCCTGTATATTCCAAATTAGACTGTTTAAGGAGTACTTATGGGGCAAAATTTTCTAGCTGTATCTTTTCTTTTTTTGGTACCGGGGATCAAAATCGGGACCTTGCACTTGCGAGGCCGGCAGTGGAACCACTGAGCTAAATCCCTGGCCCTCTAGCTGTATCTTAATATAGACTGAAGTATAATTTTGGCATGTAATAAGCCTAGAGGCTGTGTTTTACCTAAAATTTAAAAAACAATCATTTCCTCTTTAATCCTCTTCATATGTATAATGGGATTAAAAGTTTTCTTAAAACAGATTAAACCTAGTGTTTTCTCAATATAATGTACCATCTGAAGTGCTCTATGTCCTTTAAGAAAGTAAGTAAAGATTTGGAACATTTTTTCAAGGCGGGACCTACAGCACCGTTATTCATTGAGCAGCCAGAGGAGCCGGAGACCAATGCAGCAGACAGCACAGAATTGTTTGAAGACAGTCAGCTCAGCAGTCGCTGTAAAGCAATAGCATCGAAAACCAAAGAGATCGAACAGGTGAGGTTGCAGTCTACATAAGGTAGATAATCTTTGGCTCATATCACTTTGCACATAAGTACTTATTAGCTATGCTTCTTTTTTTGTCTTTTTCCACCTGTGACTGAGATTCTGTTCAAAAATTTTCAAAACAGTTTTTGACTTCAGTCATTTTGGTCAGTATGCTCCCTTGTCTTCGTTATTTTTAAATAAAGAAAACACTTTTGGAGGGTGGGTGTTGGGTTTTTTGTTTGTTGTGCCGGGGATCGAACTCGGGTCCTTGCACTTGCGCAGCAGGCAGCGAAACCACTGAGCTAAATCCCCGGTCTGGGTGTTGGTTTTTTTAAAAGAAAATATTGGTATAGTTGGTATGAAACAATTAACTTGATAGGGTTGGAATGGAAGAATATTAAATTCAAGAAATGTTAGCAAATGTTATTTTTTACTATTAGATACTTGTTTTTCTTTTAAGCATTTTCCAAAAATTTAAGGGACAAGAAGGGATTTAATCTATATTTTTAGTTGATACCATTTTGAGAAACAGGGTTTTGTTTTGATTGTGCAACTACTATCCACCTAACTAGAGCATTATCATTTTATGAGGATTTGATGATATAAGTAAAAGGTGAAAGGGCTTTCTAAAATGTAACATGTTTTGTATAGGAGTTTGTTTTTGATGTTATTCTCTGGTACTTTTAATAAATTGTGTTACATTATTGTATAATCTCAAAACAGTTTGAAATTTTAAAAAATTAAGCTATTTTCTTAAGGTGTTGTCCCATTTCTATGTTAATTTAAATCTCCTCTTGGTTGGGTTGTGGACAGTCTTAAATTCTAGATATGATTGTATGTCTAGTTGTGTTGCTATCACACCAATGACAAGAGGTAAGAACCAGGATAGGAAAGTTGTCATGCAGACCACTAGAATTTCAGAAGCTAGGATAGTAGTTAACATAAATCTCTAATAATTCTTTGCATTTTTTCATATACTTGAAATATTTCAAAATTAAATGTAATAACTCAGAATATCATGTAGATGAGACCATAAAAATCAAGTTTTGGTAATGTAGAAATAGAAATACTATTGTAATATCCAAGATGTCTTTTCTCCCTGTTTCGTAAATCAGTATAATGTGTTTCATATATATTGTAAAAATAAATTACAGTATCTAGTTTTTTGATATTTTCTGTAACTTTGGTCTGTCCCTTAGCTGTTGAATCCCTAGAATGTCATTAACTTGAGACAGTATTACAGTATGAAATGGACTGAGCCTCCAGGCCAAAATTTGTTTTAGTGCTAAATGTCTGCAAGTGCAGCAGTTCCTTTAGGAAATTTTTTTTTTTTTTTTTGGACAGAGTCTTGCTATGTAGTTCAGGCTGGCCTTGAACTTACTATGTAGCCCAGGCTGGCAGCAGTCCTCCTGCCTCAGTCTCCCGCGTGCTAGGATTACAGGCCTGGCTCTTGAGGAACTTATGCTCAGGCTCATTGTACAGGGAGTATGTAACTGGAACTGCTTTTTGTTGCAGTGATAAATCTCCAGAGATAAACTCCAGAATGGTCTCGTCCCTTGTAGTACTTGTACCATTTTAAGTATGGTTCTCGTAAGGTTTGGTATTTGCACTGAAAGGTTAGAGACTGTTACTACCACACAGAAGAAGCTCTGCCCTCTATATTTAGGGTATAACTTAGAGAAGCTCTGCCCTCCATATTCTCTGAGGTACGGTCACTATACAATAAAATGTATCGTTTCAAATGGTTGGATGAGCTGTGAAAATGGTGGCCCTATGTGGACATTATTCTGAACACATACACGTGGAAATGGTTTCACTTGATTTCACTGAGTGTAATAAAAATATATATAAAACTTAGTTATGCTCATGTCTCACAAAGAATGTGCTCTGATTTGTTGTTAATTTTATCTTCCAGTAAACTGCATTATAGGTCATAACATAACAAAAGCATGAAGTTGCAAAAACACAAGAGATGATGCTGTGAAAAGTTTTATTCTCACCCCTGAGTTTACTCTTCTTCCGGCATATATGTTGTCATGATACACATACAGTATACATACATGTGCATATATACAGATAGATATGTGTGTCTGAACTGGGTGTTGTGGGCACGCCTGCAGTCACAGCACTGGGAGGCTGAGGCAGGAGGATTGCCATGAGTTCAAGGCCAGCCTGAACTACATAGCGAGACTTTGTCTAAAAAAAAAAAAAAAAAGTGAAAAATAAAAAGATGATAAAGCAGATATTGGAGAACAGAAACATGTAGGTTTGTGACATTATGTTGTTCCACTGTCCTTTCCATTGACCTGTGGTGATAGTGATTATATTGAAGCCAGTGGGACTAGATTTTTGTAGAGATGTCTTTTAAAAAGTCAATTTGATTGGAAAATAGCCTTTAAAATATAGAATAACAGTTTTGGGGGACAGCAAGAATTTATTATTTTCGTTTATTATTTTATCTACATAGTTAGGTTGATAGAAAATACTTTGATTTTTTTTTTTTTTGGAAAATACTTTGATTTTTAAAATAACCATTTATATAGTATGTGAATATGAAGTTACAGAAGTTTTAAAATCTCACATCAGCAAATGTAGTAGCACTCCCTACTCACATTTACTAAACTACTTTGTGTCATTTCTTCTGAAGATTTTCTGTAATGTATTTACTCCTCTGTCTTTTGTTTTATATACAGGTGTTCTAGATTTGTAATGCTTATTTCTATATCATCATCAATTTCTATTGGGAAAGTGTATAAATACATGTGTGTATATAAACATTTATGTTCATATACACAGACATTTCTGTTAAGTAACCTGTTATAATTCTTGTTGAGACCTCTGACAGTTTTATACTGCATTGATTTCTAATGCTAGTTTGAGTAATTCTGCCTTGAACTTCTGTTCTGTTAGCATACTTCATTGCTACTGCTGGTAGAGATCTAAGAGGAAAAATCTTATTTCAAAAATTAATATGCTGCATGTGATTTCTGTGAAAGATCAGATGAGGTCTTAATACTAAAAATCTTTTATATCTAGAGATTCTTAAACAATCATTTTCCCTCAGTATTTCACCATAAGCTATTTTAGTAACCCTTGCTATTTTTGGGACCAAGCTTGGATATGAGTCTCTCAGCAGAGGATTTATTCTTTTTTTGTTGTTACTTTGTTAGTTTGTTTTTCAGTACCAGGATCAAACTCAGGACCTTGTACTTGCGAGGCAGGCGTGGTACCACTGAGCTAAATCCCTGGCCTGTTTGTTTTTTGAGACAGGGTCTTGCTGTGTAGTTCAGGCTGGTTTTGAACTCGCTATATAGCCTGGGCTGGCCTCAGACTCACACTTCCTGCCTCAGCCTCTCAAGTTCTAGATTACAGGTGTGTGCCACAACACCTGGCTAGAGGATTTTTTCTTAAAATATTTTTCCTCATGTAGTACATTCTTGACTGTGATTGGGCCCTATGTAAAGTGGAAGAGTAGTAGGTATTAAATTAATTGACTTTTTAGTTGAAACTGTCATAAAGGGAATATAGTTTACAATAGAATTTTCAAATTTTGTTTTATTTACTTTTAAAAATATTTTTATTCACAAAGTTTATCAGTTGCATAGTGAACTCTTGTTTGCCAGTGAAAGTTGCATGGACAGTTTCATATCATCTTCCTACTCATGGTTAGTATATGGTGAGGTATAATTCTGCTTGCCTTTTTAATAGACTGAAAAGAAAATTATCTGTTTAGTTATGTTTACATCATCCAGAGTTCTTGCGGCAGCTCACAGTGAGTGTTTGTTCAACACTTGAATGACTGGAACTGGAAGGAATGCCTGAAGCACCCAGGCATATCATGCTCCCTGGCTCTGCACTTAGTTAATTCAGGCTCGGGAAGATTAACACTGTAGCAACTCCTCATGGATCTTGCCCTCCTGGAAGTTAGAAGGCAAAGGAGAGAGAAGCATAACCATCTTATTTCATTTGGTTGCAAAAATGCAGGCAGGTTTTAATGGTTTTCAACATCTACAAGATGAAAAGGGTTTCTCAGAAATTTGCAGTGGGACTAAAACATTTTGAGAAGACTTATATACAAAGTTATGGATTCTAATTAATTATGACAACCTGTGAAGGAAGAGAAAATTATTTTAAAACATTTACTTTTCACATGTAATTTTATCATAATGTGTCTAGATATGGATTGTTTTTTAAGTTTATTCTACTTAAGATAATTCATGCTTCTTGTATTTAAGTGTTGACATTTTATGTTAGAGCTGGGAATTCATAAAATATTATTTCTTTGAGTGTTGAATATCTCCTTTTCCATATCCTCTAGTTGGACATAGATTTTTTTCATTCCATCTTCCATTTCTTTTTCTCTCTTTTTAAATCTTAAATTGTAGGTATCTTGTTCAGAACTAGCTCTTGCTCTTTCTTCAGTTGTCTAATTTACTATTTAATTCATCCACTGACTTGTTATTTTATTTTATTTTCCATTTGAGAAATTTAGTTTAGTTCTCATTACAGATGTGCTTAGAAATGGGTTTTATGCTCATGTTTTCATTCTCATTTAAAAACATCCTGTACTATAAATGATCATTTTAATATCTGAAGTCTTGGCTTTAATTTACCTGTTGCTTTTCTTCAGGGACTTGCTCCTGGTAGCAGTTTTTTTGGTGTTTGGATTGGAGTTGTTATATTCAGAACTTCAGATACGTGTGAATTCTCAGGGGAAACTACTTCTCAGCATTTTAGAACCCAGACTAAGACCTGTAGTTTTATTTTTATTTTTTCTAACTAACTCATACATTCAAAAACTTCTTAACTTTATGCAGATGTCTCAGATCTAGTGCAGTATTTTCATGAGCCTATGATCAATCTCTCATTCCTTACTGGGCTCTGAGTTCCTGGTTCTTTGGACACCAGTTGTGGTGGGGTAGCCGTAGGATCCGTATTAGCGTCTCACTCTGGTTTCTTGTCTTTTCTTTATTGATGCCTGTTGGCACTTTCCCTTAAAGAATGTAGCT